CACATGTACATAGGCGTAATTTGGGCTATGTGGCAGATGTTCATATCAGTAGTCAGCGGACCACTTGATGAAGCATTTGGGGGCGGTAACTTACCAGCTTTTGTATTGGGCTCCATCGTGGCTGCCATTAGCGCTGTATTGGCAATTGTTGCCCTTCCGAATCCACCAAAACAAGTATCTCTCAATCCTGCAATGGCTGGAGGACACTGAGCAAGTGAGCCGGGGTCATGAATAAATCAGGAAAGTGGATTTAAATCTTTGCAATAATAAATCCATCCAAGACAAATTTCATTATGAGTTTATCATAATTTAAATCTATCCTCATTTTGGACAACTTTTTTTAAGTAATATCTTTCGTTTGAAATAGAGGGTAGTTCAATCTTTTTTCTGTGTACTTTTTCTTCATTTAAAATTAATAGATTTTTGAACATTTGGCTCAATGCTTAGTCATTAGTGCGTGTATCCTCACTCAAAGAGTTAGATTTGAGTTCCCTATTCTCTCAAATCTAAATAAATAAATTAAATTAAATTCTCTTGTAAAACATATTTACTTAGGCATATGACCAAAATATTATTACTTATCAGCTTATAAAATAGGATAAGATTTAATTTAGAGCTTTTAAGTGAAGTTTATGTTGACTCAATGTGTTTTTAATAATAACAAAATATTCTTCATTTGTTAATATTTAATTATATTATTTAAATGTGTAGGAGAAAATTTAAATACTTTAGTATATTTGTTGTTTGAAAGCAAATCAAAAAGCTTGTTTAATTGCAAGATCAGTTAATTGGTTAAACAAACAAAGAAAAAAGAACTCCACAAAGACAAATTGGTTTTAATTGATTAACAAGGATCTTTAATTGGTTAAGATAGAATTGGGCACTACTCTAAGTGCCCATTTGTTTTGCAATAAAATATTTTTTGAAAAACGTTTTCAGGACTCATGCTTATTTGACAGACGAAAAATTAATTCCAGATATAAAATATTTTACAAGTCAATAAGGTTAATCACGAAAAATGTCTTACTCCAAAGAACAACAAAAACGGTTTTATACTAAGTTTATGAGTATAAGTTTGATGAATATTAATATTTAACTTAAAATATTAAAAAGTAAAAATATTAATATTTACATTTAAAATAATTAATTTAAAATATTAATATTTAAATTATACAACACTATTAAAATTAAAAAATATTATTTTAATGAAACCATTCAATACAATTAAATTTTTTATTTATAAATGGAATAAATCTTACTAAAAATTATGACAAAAAATATTTCAATGATCATCATTTGATGAATACACATTTATAATATGCTTAAATCTTACTAATAATTATAATAAAAAATATTTCAATAATTTTTATTTAATGAATACATATTTATAAGTATAAGTTTTGGATATCTTACACAATTGATGAATATTTATATTTTTATAGTTGTGATAAAAAGGTGATAAGATGGAAAATTTTTTGAAATTAGAGTTTATTTTCATTACAAATTTGTGGTTAAATGCTTTGGGAAATATCATTATTGATTTTATTCTCTTAATTTTGATCCCAAATTAGTGAAAATCAAATATCAACATTGTTTTTTACTCAACTCCTATTTATTATTTTAACACTTAAATAACTCCACCATGATGAAAAATATTTTTAATAAAATTATCCAACTACAGAAAATGTTTTCGGTAGTTTATTCAAACAACAGAAAACATTAAATTTTCCTGTAAAACATTTTATACAAAAAAATTTTCTTCTAGTAAGTCATTTTTCAATTACCAAACAGTCCCCAAAATGTGACAGAAAAGTCTTAATCAATTAACACAAGGCTTAACTGATTAAAAGAGTACTAGATTTAAAATAGAAGTATGTTAATTGGTTAACCAAAGGGTTTGATCGATCAAAGCTTACACTTGGAGTACTTAAAAGCGTCATAATTCAAATTCAAAATAAAGTTGACCATTGAAGGATGCCAAGTTAAAGAATTCAAATTCGAAGACATTTTAATCTATTAAAGTTTACTTTAATTATTATTTTACCCTTTAGCATTTAAATTAAAATAGGCAGACATAATTTCAATAACTGGTTAAGGATAGGTTCTAACTGATTACACCTTCTTTGCCTTCTACTATCTGGCAACTCTGTTCACTATGTTAACTAGTTAGAGAGAGCTTTAATCGATTAAGAACTTTTATCTTTATTTTTCTCTACACAGTAATCTTCTTTTAATTGGTTAGCTTTTCCTTAACTGGTTGAGGCTTTATTTTCTTCAACCTTAACTGATTAAAATCAACTTTAATTAATTAGAAAATATTTGAATTTTGAATTTCTCCATTTTGGTTTCTTTTAACAATCAACCTTCTTTCAAATTTGATTTTGACGCTTGGGGGTATTAAGGTATTGTGCTCTAACCGATTAACCAAACTCCTTAATCGATTTTCAAGACTCTTTTTCAGTCTCGAGCACCTCCTTAATCAGTTAACCTTGGTACTAATTGATTACAACTTTTCTATCTTGCTTTTACCCAGCACCCAATTGTTTCTTAACTAGTTAAAACTCTTTGTTAATTAGTTAATATTTTGTCTTTACTAATCACTTTCTTCTTTTTTTTCTTTAATTGATTAACTCATTTTCTCATTTAGCAAACAGCTTGACTTGCCCTTAAATAACAAATTTATTAAGGGAATTAAGAGTAGCAGTGGTTTGTATTATCATTGATAGTCCAATTTTAGAGTGAAAAAAATCCTTCTCATTGTTAAGGAAAATATTGGTCATCAAAGGAGAATAGTAAGCTATGGTATGACCTCTCCTTTCTTTAGCGATCAAAAGGATAATTTCTGTTTTCAAAAGTTGACCCATATTATGACAGTACAATCATTATTAAGCCAATACATATAGCTGTTTATATAAATGTATAATTATACTTTGCTACTGTTTGGATAAAAAACATAGTTCGTAATAATTACAATGCCAATATCATGTTATATTCATTAATTATATTTTCTTTATTTGTTAAATATGAAGATGCATTTGTTTCACAAAATGAACTTCCAGTTTTTGAAAACAGATATTTCTATGTTTGCTTCACCATAATTTACTCTTTGTTTGTTATTTTGTAGTCTCAACATTGGGTTGTGATTTGGGATTGACAAAACCTATTGCAAGATTTTATAAGGATTCTTCAACGACTCTCTTTTTCGATTGCAATTTATCATTTGCTTTTATTATTTTGATGCTATATTGATTTCGTTTTCTAAAATTATTGTTTATACATATTTTTTATGCAAATTATAATGATATTGATGCCACATTTTTCTTTAATGAACATACATGTTTGCCTTATATTTACACTTCATGTGTACCATGCTTGATTATATTTAACTATATTTTGTCTAATTTACTGTATTGAATAGCTATGACTGTATAAACATACATGTTCAGCTCATGCTTACATTTTATCTATACCATGCTTGATTGATTGTATTGAATTTTTGTCCAAATAATTTACTGCCCTGAGTTTTGGTTATTCTTCATAACACATCAAATGTAGAAATAGCTATATATCAATTGCTTGATGTTGAGTTCTTTCAAAAAAAATTTATTTTATAGTATGATCAAGTCCTTACAAGTTTGGATGCGAATCATTCTAAGTTGTGCTCTTATCATCTTTCTATGTTTATCAAATTAGGTTCCAACTTTATGACGTAAAATCATATGAAATTTTGATTTTAGTTTGTATCAACACAAGTATAGCAGCAATTATATTTTCATTCTACACGCTATTCCTCCCTTGTTTGTATATTGGTCAGATATGCTTTCTACTTTCTTTGCTCTTTTTGCCTATCACATTAGTCAATTTTTTATATGCAATGTATTTTTTATTGATTCTAAAAACATCAAAATTTTGTCAATAACTTACCTTTGAGAATGAATAGATTGGTATTATTTCTCTTTACTTTTTTCTCAATAAGAAGCTCCTTTCAAAACGCATGACTAACTTGTACATTGCTCTGATTTAGCATTTTTAGTCGATCTTTTATAAAAATCAAATGTTAATAAAATGTTTCTCTTCCTGTTAAAATAACAGTTGATGTTATCCATTTTATATAGGGTAGGAAATCTTCCAAAACAACCCACCAACCAAAAGACACCTTCCCCACTACTTGATACTGATGAATGTTGGAATTTAAGTGTCAAATTTGACAAATACCCTTATATTTTTAGTCTGCAAGAAGTAACAAATATTGAAGGCGGACATCTTAACTTTTGTATAGTACTGCCATTCCTCTCATCTCAAAAATGTGAAAAAGCACATCAACATAACGCTCATTAATTTTTTTGTAAAATGATAAAAGATAAATGTGCAAAAATATAAATAATTATTAATCACCCTCACAATTTCTACTAGTTCACAAAGTTTCTATGTAAAAGTTAATGTTTTAACACTAAAAACAATTCTATATATTTTATTCAAACAATTAATATATATAATTTATTATATAAATAAATTCTTCAAGAATCTCCTTTTACCCGACCAACGTACGGTCCGACCGTAGTTCTAGAAATTGAAACATGATTGGGAACAATAACTGCATGTAGCATGACATATTGACATCTGTTGCCTTTGGTCCCACGCTGACACAGTTGGTCATAACTGCGGACAAATTCTCAACTGTCATCGCCCAAACAGACAAACAAACCTTTGAAAAACCCACCATATTTCTCTCCTAGTTTCGCTCATTGAATTCAAAAGCCGTGGTTGTTGCATGCATTGCTTATTCCCAATCCAGATTCTTGGATTTCCTCTGTTTTTTTTCCTCGAATGGATTGGTTGATTTCTTTGGATGAATCTTCTCTCAATGCATATAAACAACTATTCAATGCCCTCTTTTTGATCCCAATTTCGCACTATTTACTGGCATTTTCCGTGATATGGGCAGCTTATCTCTACAATTTCCTGGAAATTCATTTCTTCCAAGACTTGTTCTCTGGATTTCGCGGTGCTCCCGTTTCCTTGACCTCTCACCCTTCCTCCCCTATCTACAACGACGTCGTTTCCAAGTGCCGGATCCTTCACGGCAGGTACACTTTTCCTTTCTTTCTATTTCACCGGGAAATGTGATTCTTTCGCTTTCCATTAGTGTCAGATATACATTTTGTTCCACTATCGCAGGTATTTAGCGACGCCATGGTTATCAAGTCCTCATTTTCAGACTGCTTTCCTTAATTTCTTCGGGAATCCTCCAGTTTTCAGCTACAACAGGTGATATAATGAATAGCGTTTCTACTGGTAACAATTTTTTCTTTTTTGTGCTTTTGAATGTAGCAAAAAGGCTGTTTTCTTCTGTCCTGCTTTTGCTCTTCCCTTTTTGTTATTTAAGACTTTGATTGGTTGTTGCTTTGTTTGGAAGTTAATTTTTTTAATTGCTATTTTATAAGGGGATTCGCTAAGGAATGCCCCAATGTCACTTGTTAAGATTGTTACATGAATAATTATCTTCATTTATTGTTAGCACGAATTATTAGATTAAACTATAGCAATAATACAATATAAATAGAACCTTTCCAAAGTGTCTTATACGGTTATTTTAGATGTTTATCTATATGCGCTTTTATCTAACGGTAACATCCCTATGCTTTCTCAGACAACTTTTTCATGCTTCCGATGGTGGAACAATAGCTTTGGATTGGCTAACAAGTTCTGATGGTAAATCCAAAACTTTTGATGATATTGTGAACTATCCTCACAGATGTATGCATGTGGAGCAACTTCTGGAGTATGTTGTTGTTGTGTGTACTGTTTTGTGCAAGATTATGTTTTGAAGATTTGACGTTTCATAGCTTTTGCATCCATCATCAATTATTTTAGTCTTTTTGGTGATAGGAGTATTAACTACTAAAACGTGTGAGGTGCAAGTTGAAGACAGATGAACTGTCAAAGCATAAATAAAGCTACCTTAGTGTGAACTTCTTCAAAAGTCATGCTTTGGGTTCTAAAAGCACTTAGTTTTAGCTTCTATTTATCATCTAAGTATTTGGAATGATACATAAGTGTTTGAACATTATAATGCGAGAAAGGTCACATATGCAGCTGCTAAATCCATAGTGCAGCATCACACCAATTTGCAGTGCTGTTTCATGTTTTCCTTTTTGAGTAGAATCCTTGCTCGTAATTAGCTTCCTCATATGCATCTAAGATGATGGTGTGAGGTGATTGCATGTTGGCAGCAACATATTAGCCCTAGAAGACAGGCTAAGTTCAACCCTCACCCCACCATATATTGCAGCTTGATCTGTATTGACTGCGTGACACCAGTAGTTATCAGTTAATTGTCTACTTGGACATAATACCTTCATTTCATATTGAGTTTGTATGGTAAATATTCTATCCTGCAATTGATGTGTTTGATAATTATACAGTTCCAAGAAGCACCTTTGAGATGAATAATGCCATCTCGACAAATGATGCCATCTCGAAGGATGATACAACTCCAGTGGTGGTTGTCATTCCTGGCTTAACAAGTGATTCTGCTTCTGCAGTAAGTTAAATGTTAACTTATGACTACTCTTCTTGTCTCCTTTTTTCTTGCTGCTCCTTATAATAACTTTTGGGCTTAAGGGAAAATGTTGTTCAACTTGTATCAACTTTTCGTGAACTTGGAAAATTAATCAAAGTCCAATGAGGATGGCTAGATAATTGTGTCTAGAATCTTGTAGAGTATCTCAATGAGTAGTTAGACGTGACGAATGGCTAGTAGATAACCATACAGGCTTTTGAGGGAGCTCCATATAGGACTTAGAAAATTATATCCTGATCTTAAAACTCTGTTGCCCAATGAATTAATAGGCCTATAAATAGGCAGGTACATAATCAGGGTGTAAGTTTTTCAGGGATGCTCTGCATACAGTTTTAGGCTTTTTAGGTTCCTTAGTCTTCTTTGTAGCTATCGATTTTTCACATGCTCTTCATCCTTTTAGGGATATTTAGTGCTTTTTTCTTGTGCAAGATTACAGCCTCCTATATAGTGGTTGGTTGAGAATAAATTTATTGCTATTGATGCCAATTTAATCCTTATCAAGTAATTCTTTTCCAGTTCCGCTTTCTAATCATCTTAGAGTTTTGCAGATACTACCTGACGCTAAGCATTGAAAATTGGTATGAAACTAAGATGTCATATAAAAAATCTACTTGTGTGGTTTGAAATCTCCTTGACTATTCTCTGAGATAATTTTATTTGAGACCTCAGAGAAGGCTATATGTCCTTCTGTCTTTATAAAAACTTAAAGAAAATTCAATGACCTATAGGCTGAATAGGTCAAAGAGAGTGTTCTGGAATATATGTTACAAAACTGAAATTATCTTGCTGTAATATCTTATGGCAGTATATTAAGCACCTTGCATTTGGAATGGCAAAACATGGATGGAATGTTGTCGTTAGCAACCACCGAGGACTGGGTGGTGTTTCGATTACTGTGAGTTGTCCTTTTTCTTTTATTTTCCTCCTGAGTTTAGCTTAGAACATTTGTGTTTTATGTTTTTTTTTTATGTCTGTTTTGAGTTTGGAATATGACATCGGTTTTCTGCCTTGCACAAGGGAGGATGAACTTCCATGTAACAGTACTGTATCAGTCAATGAAATCAATCAACAAATATATCTTATTTCACAACTTGCAGAAGACAGACCCAGTCATTTTGCCTTTCGCATTTGCTGTAATTGTCGTGATCTTCAAGCTGATGTTATACCAAATCTCATAGTATAGCCTTTACATGATTACTGCTTAAAGTTAAAAGATTTATATGTACAATGACAATAAAGTATGCAATATGGGCCATTATTGAGCAAGTTTAAAGAAAACATCACTCTCAGAAATCTGGAATGAAATCTGGAAGTGTAAAAGGAAAAATGAAAATGAAATCTGGAAGAGATTAAGGAGAGAATATGTGGTGCTGATTTTAACAAAATAAAATATCAAGTATATTAGTGTTTAGCTAATATAGCAGTGATTTTCATTTGCTTTTACTATATACATTTTGGTTATAAGATTTTATTAGGTAATGTTTGTGAAATACTTTGATTTTATGTTTAATTACTGAGCTTTCTAAACAATGCACTCTTTAGATGTTTGATCTAAAGGTGACAGTGATTCATATAGCTAGGACATAGCATTAGGTAATCAAATCGTAAATATGGTAGATCAACCCGGCAGTTGCAGGTTTAATTTCTACACATTTAGTTGTGATGCTTTATTTCTAGATATATTGTTGCATTTTTAAATATTATCTAGTTCTTCTGTTGAGAACTAATAAATCGACCTAAATCTTTAACTAGTAATTGATTGGTGAGATGTATTATAGCAATGTCTTGTTCCAAGGAACATGTATGTGTGAATGAAAACCTGATAGTTCATTGGTTAAAAGCTGAGGGTTTCTTGTACTTCCTCTGGCAATGTGCAGAGATGCTATTAGCAATATCTAGTAGTTAAAAGTAAAGATTACTCCTCTTTAGGAAAACCTGATAGTTAATTGTTGAGATGTATTTTCTTAATGTTGTATTTATAATAATACTTGTGCAGTCTGATTGCTTTTATAATGCTGGCTGGACAGAGGATGTACGAGTAGTCATTGATTATCTCCATCATCAGTTTCCGAAGGCTCCTTTATATGCTATTGGAACTAGCATTGGTGCCAACATTCTGGTATGCTATGTGGTCTGCATTCTATATTCTTAAGACTCCTTTGTTGCATAAAATGTGATAGAAACTGTCACTTGATTCACCTCCCTTGTACTTTTACCAGCTGTTCTCCTCTATGTTTGATGATGGTGCTTCCCTTCGGTCTATGGATTGCCTGGTAGAAATAGGTGTCCTGGCTTTTAATGTTTTTTATTTTTAAAATTTTCTATAAATTGGAAGGCGAGTTGGTCTCTACAACTTAACCCAGTGATTTAATTTAGGTTTAATATTGTTGAGTTTCAGAGGAACCTTGTAGCTCTCTTTCCTTTTTATTTATTTATTTTTTTGAAAGATAGCTCTCTTTCTTACTTTGTGGGTAGAATTATACAAGGATATAAAAGTCGTTTAATACTTCCTCTCTATTCTCATAATTCTATGTCATTGGCAAAGCACCTTTATTTCTCTCTTTGTGTGTTTGTAAGTGTCAAACTTACATAATTTCCATGAGAAGTGGTAGGAGTACAGCATGACAAGTTACTCTTGTGAAATTTCATTAAAAGAACTTGTCATTGGTTGTACCAAGTTAGGCATTTGATTTGATGAGAATTTGACTGTTTATGTTGGTTCTTGTCAGTCCCATTTTGTTACCATCAGAGCAATTTCTTTGGTTAGGTTAGAATAGAAATTGGCACCTATTTGTGCTCCTTTATATATATATATATATATATATATATAGATCATGTGAATCTACATCTGAAAGATGTCGCTCATTTCACCTTCCCGTCAGTCAGATTGGCTTCCACTTCCTACAATTTTTTGTTAAAAAGCAAATTCTAGCAGTTTTCTTGACATTGCTAACTCTTTAAGTCTAGCGTCTAGGGATTCTTGTAAATCGGAAGTTTCCACTTTTCAGCTTATTTAGATTGGACAAGTTCGTTTTAGGCGATTTGGATATATTTGTGTGGCAATCTGCCTGGTAATGTTACTGTTTTATAGCAGATTACGAACTTTTTGGCTTGTATTTCAGTTTGTAATTGTATTTCTTGACCTCTAATTATAAATTATATCAACTTAATATTTATTTGTGACACCTTAGTATGTATTATTTCTTACAGGTGAAATATCTTGGAGAGGATAGAGAAAAGGTTCCTTTAGCTGGTGCAGTAGCTATTTGCTCTCCATGGGATCTTTTGGTTAGTGCTTTATCTCTAGCAAAAATGCAGCTATTAAGTAGCACGAGTTTTATGGAAGAAATTTATCATAGTTCCATTATTTGTTAACTGCAATTTTGAAATAATTGGCTCATTAAATATATTCTGAGTATGCCATTGTATTATTCTTCTGGTTCTTTTTTTTTTATTTGATCCAACAAGTTTCATGCAAGAAATTTCTCATATTTCCATTATTTGTTAACTGTAGGATTTTTTATTTGAAGAATGTTAACTGCTAGTTTTGATTCCTTTACTCTTTAATTTATTCAGATTATGCCATTGTATTTTTCTTTCGTCTTTTGGTGGTGGTGTGCAGCGGCGGATGGGGGTGGGGGGGGGGGGGTTGTTAGTATTGCACATGATCTTCTTTCCTTCTTTAAAACACATAGGCACGAACAGCAATGTCATGTGTAGACAAAGCTCCATTTCTAACATTGTTTACTGAAATAAATAAAAGTAAAAAAAAAAAACAACGTAGTTTTGACATAAGGTATACAAAAAAAATTAATTCAATTGAGAATGACAGGTTTCAACCAATTGATCCAATCAGTTATCTTACTTTTATATATATATATATTATAGATATATATGTTATTGGTTAAGTAAATTAATCCTCGGCCCTAAAAGTGTAATCAAATTTTCTAGAGATTCAAAGCTACAATAATAATTAACTAGAAATTCACAAAAATGGAAAACAATCATTTTGGTCACGTTGAACTGATGTACACTAAGCTGGAAGTGAAAACTAATTTTTCTAGCCTAGGCAATCAAAATTGACAGAATCTGACTATTTACGTTAATCATTTCTGTGGGTGAATTCTAGCCCTAGCACCTGCCAAATAACAACATTAGCTCTTGAATTAACTTTCACCCATCTTCCGTGGCATTCTGCACTTTCCACTCATTTGCATTACCTAATTATTACAAGTAATTATTGTGATGTGTAAAAATAGATTTATGTTGATAAATACTTCTTATGCAGGGCCTGGTGTTCAAAGTTACATGAGTTATCACATTATATTTGCTTTAGCCACATCAAGTTACAACTTTTTTGACATTGTAGCAGGACATGCCATCATACATTTGAATCTGCAATTGCTCTTCATTTTAACGTCTGCTCTTTTTTTTTTTTAGTGTTTTTAATGTTATATCGTTTGCAGATTGGTGACAGGTTTATATGCCGCAGGCTGGTGCAGAAGTTATATGATAGAGCCCTTACAATTGGCCTTCAAGGTTATGCAAAACTGTAAGTCCTACATATTTCAAATAAATTGTTAGATGTGAAGCCTATATGTGCAGGTTCTTGGTACCTGAAACTCAACAATGTCGAAACCTTTTTGTTTTATCTTCAGAGGCATAAAGAGAGATGCCTCAGTAATGATGTACCTAGTAACTGATTTTTGTAACGATTCTTTTGGCCTTTGAAACTTAAGAGCACCTAAAATACCTGTTTTGGGGGGACAAGGGAGGTTTTGCTGATGATTTCCAAGTAATAGAGTCATTAATAAATTTTCATTATCAATTTTCTGGAGTTGATAATGTTTATTGCAGGCATGAGCCTCGTTATTCTCGGCTGGCTAATTGGGAAGGCATTAAAAAGGTTAGTTTCTTCTTCAATGCAAGGACCATCTTTTCTTTGGGATGTTGCATTATTGTAGAAAGAATAATAGACCTGAAAAGAAAATCATGCTGTTCTGTAGTTTCTCATACTGCAATAATCAACCATCATTTATCTTGTAATTGACCACCTTATGTTTTAGAAGATAAAACTTTCCTCTTTGTGCTTTCATCTTGGGAAAATTAACTATGAAAGAGATTGATTTATAGTAAGTGTTCTTATCCCTTGCTTCTTTCAGGCCTGTCCTGGATAATTTTCACATGAAAACATTGAGCATTATTACACGTAGTAATTTGTAGACATGGATGCTTACCATCTTTTGTTCCCTAAATGTAATACACAGGTCATAACTACAAATAAAAAAATTTTCTGCAAGCTTCATGAACTTTCTGAAGCGTTTTCTCCCTTACTACCTTTTCTGCTTCTATGATCATAGATGAGAAATATCTGCAGCAGGAAAGAAGTATATATGCAATGAGCTATGGAAAATTTCTGTATTAACAGTTTTCATCTGTTATCTTTTCTTTGCACCCTCTTCCTCAAGATATAAAGATTGTAAATAGAAGCATTTATTTTTTGAGGAATATTCTTCTTTCATTGCTGTTATGAATGTTGCACCAAAATAGGATAACAGCCTGGCAAATTTTTTATTGTGCTTACACTTATAAATTTCCATGAATAAGGTCTGTATGGAGGGTCACTGGAGTTTCACTTCTGTGACCTGGAGGGGAGTTTGGACCTGAGCTTTGAACCTCAAGTGCATGCATTTAACTTATTTGGTGCCTTGGAATCATCTCTCTTCCCTTTCTTTTCATACTTGCAATGTTAGTTTTGTTGCTAGTACAACATATTCATGATTGTTGCCCCCTTTCTGTTGTTGGCAACTCTACTGGAACTCCAAGAGAACTGACATTTTCATGCAATCTGTATCTTGAGCATAAGTGTCATTCCTTTTCATTAGTCTCCTCTTCCTTTTAACTTATGCTGTTTTTTGGTTATCCTCTTGGCCTTCAAAAGTCACGTTCTATTCGAGATTTTGACAACTTTGCTACATGCCTTGTGGGAAAATTTGAGGTACTACCTGAAAATTTATCCATACTTACTTCTTTGCTGTTATTTTTATGAGTTACAAAACGTATCATATTGTCTCTCAGACTGTAGATACATACTATAGGCGTTGTAGCAGCTCTTCCTATGTGCAAAATGTTTCAGTACCATTGCTCTGTATCAGTGCTCTAGATGATCCTGTCTGTACCAGGGAAGCCATTCCTTGGGATGAATGCAGGTGGAGCTCCTATAATTATGCAACTGAATACTTTCTTTGAGTTTATATGTTATTTTGTGCAGTCTGGTTACTCTGTCTTTAACAGGGCAAATAAAAATATCGTATTGGCCACCCCACAACATGGAGGACATCTTGCATTTTTTGAGGGAATAACTGCATCTAGCCTGTGGTAATTCATAGCTCCACATTAGTGCATCACCAGTATAATATGTTTCTAACATCTATTGATGCCATAAGGCAGCCATTCCGTTGATAAAAGAATTTCAGAAAATTTGTATAGTTCCAAGTAGTACTACTGACCATTTTGTTTATGTTTTATTATTTGATTGTTGTTGTCATCTAGGACACCTAATTCACCAAAAATGAGAGTGTGCAGAATCCATCGTGATCCTGTGATCGTCAAATTTTAATCTTACTACTTTCTAACTGATCTTATGCCTAGTTTGTGATTGATAGCCTAGATGGTCTCCTGCTAAGTCATTTCTTATTTATGTGATAGTAGTTACCTAAATATTTGAAGTGTCACAGATGTTATCAATATGTTTTAACACGCATACTTTCTTTTTCTTTTTATTATTCAGGTGGGTAAGGGCTACTAATGAATTTCTTAGTCTCCTACACTCTAGTCCACATCTGCATGTCCGGAAGGTTTGCTTCATGTTCATTGCCTTTACGTTTGCCTATCAAATTAATGGCACATTGCTAGGAGGCGTGTGAAGTTCTTGTTGTAAACTCTTTCTGTCTGGTGCAATAAAATTGTTAAACAAAATTTCAGATCTATCAATTGTAATCTTATACTCTTTTTAAATTTAATGCAATGTTTAAGCCTATATCTGTTAGTTTATACTTTTTGTTTTGATGCATTTGCAGACACAGAATTCTGACTTGCAGCTTTCATTGGGATCATCAATCGATCAGGGTCCATATGTAAATGTTGCAGAAAATGGAATGGTGGCTGCAGTTGGTAATGAGCATGCAGGAAATAACATAGTTGAAGACTTAGCTGGACTAAGGAAGATTCATAACCAAGAGCGTGATAAAATGATTTCAGCATCAGAACAGAGCAAGCACCTGACTGAAACGATGTCTGTTGTTGTGCCACGTGCTGATAAAATGGTTTCAGCATCAGAACAGAATGAGCATCTGACTGAAGCAATGCCTGATTTTGTGCCCAGTGCTGCTCAAGTTTCTGGACAATCTTCTAACTTGCAGGGTGTCAATTCTTTTGATGTGATTGCTCATGTGAAAAGATGTTTGAATCATCTTTCCCGTCAAAACAGAAATTCAATGTGGTTGCTGGCTTACATTGCCATTATTACAAGTTGGCCATTAGTAGGTTCAGCTTTCCACATTTTTTCCAGGAAGAAACTCAGAAATGTTTCACCTGCAGCTTTGCACAGAAGGTAACCTACTGCTGCTAGTATCGTATTTTGTACATGTTTGATGTGTCATTATTCAATTCTAAAAATGTGCATGGCTGCCTGCTGAAAATATCTGTTTTCTGATGGCAATTGTGAACTAAATACGGAACAACAGGAAAAACCTTGTTAAACTAGCTTTTTGCCTAGAAATAACATTAAAGCTATTGATGAGGCAATCTCTATTATATCATATATTTTCTCTCTAATTGATGTCACAAAACCTGGGGATAATCTTTCCACACCATTGATTGATAGTTGAGTGGTTAATGTTTTGATTCCACAGTTGTTTTTCGTCCATTGGACATGAGCTACACAGGGGAAGGCAGCCCTCTCTTATTCCATAAACCCAGCCTCCCTTCCCCTAGATTTGACACTGCAACCACTTTCCTTGTCCTCATAGTTGAAATCACCCTTTTAAAGTTATTTAATATACTATGTAAATTGCTTTGAAATGACTATATATATCTATCCTTTGTTCACCTACATCAAACAAACAACATATATATAATCACAGCATGCATAAAACTTTTGTTTAATGAAAAATCACCATATAAAGTTAATTATGATGAAGAGGAAAGTATGATGATGACCTTTTTTTTTTCTTTGGGATTTATGTATAGAGTCAATTCTGTGAATCAGCTTTGGCACATTCTTTATGCAAATCACCAATAACGTTCCTCTGGTTACTCATCCCACCCACTAGTTTTCTTGTCTTTTCTCTGCTGTGGGTGCAACATACCCAACTGTATGTCAATGCCGTTTGCTTGGAATACTGAGATCTCAACTCAATATCCACCCAAAGCATATCTAACTCAAAACTAATTGATAATGAGTAAAAACATTCAGTCCTGTGGACACAATCTTCTCCTATATTAAACCTTAAGCCTAAGCTATGGGAGATATAAATGTGTAATTCTCGTCATGTAAAGGTATCTGTTTAGAACTGATTCATGATAGATAAAATAATATTGCATAATGTGATCAACTTATTAACTTTGTCAACCTCTTCAACAGCAAAGGGTTATAGTAATGCTCTATCAGTTTTCCTTTATTGCAATTGGAAATCAAAATGTAGGGATTAAAGGTCTTCAAAACTGAAGTGTAGTGATTGCTGTTGGAGGATTTTTATACCTTTCAAATTTTCAAATGTACACTTGGATGTTCATGAAGTTTTATTTCTTTTTATACTTATATGCTTTATTTAAGAATATATTTATTTGTTTGTTTATTTTTTTCAGAATTACTTGAATACTTTGGTGTTAAATCATAATTTGACACATCATAAAATTTTTTAAAAATATTTAGTAATAAATGGTAGTTTCCATGAGGTGGCTAAATGTAGTTTATTAACAGTATAAAAATTATAAATATATATAAACCCCTTTTTACATCATTAGAAAATACCAAACTGTGCTTAGTCAGTGTGAAAGTGGGAGTCTTTTCAAATAAAAGCAACAATTTGTTAGATTAAACTCCATTTAACCCATCAAGTTAAAGGGCCTCAACCATTGGCATAAGTTTGCATAGGTTGAATGATAGGCTAACTCCTACCCACATTCTTTACCTTGTTTCACTTTTCTTTTTGGTGGGCACGAAGGATTAAATTAATGTAATGATTAAGTTTCATAACCACATTTACTATTTTGCATCTCTCAATCTTTGATTTTTTTTTCCCTTTTGTCCTTTGCATCCTCCCTACCAAACGGGGGCATTAAACTAAGGATGATGATATGTATTTTAAGCAATGTCTTAATGTTTCATGAATGAAATCTATATCCATAATCCGTTCTCTCAAATCATAGAGAGAAAATGTTATAATTGATTCGTGAATTTATTCTGTTTTCTTTTCGTAAAGTATTTCCTGTTGATCAAGTTTAGAGTCTTTATTCTCTGTTTACATCTTTTTGGAAACTTGAAAGTTTAAAATTAGATTTAATAATTCGTATTCGTGTATTTTAATGTTATCATGTAAATATAGGATATTAACACTTATACAAATAAACTCGAACACGACACGATTAATTATATATGCGTGTCAAGATACGAATATGTATATATTAATTAAACGTATAATACGACGCGACACACTTAATATTTTTATTAAATAGATCAAGTTAAATTTTATATAATACGATATAATTTATAATCCATTTAAACGATTAACATGATTAAATTAAAATATATACAATTACACATGAAATACAATTTTATTATTCAAATTTAAAATTAATAATCATAAAAACAATTACAATGAAATTAACATTAATATCCATTTAGAATAATAAAATCTACTACTTCCATCATCAACTATATTAAAAGAAAGTATTTATATGGGGTTTAAGTAGGTCATAAACGTACCAACTAGACACATTTACACGATTAATTAAATGGATAGTAAACAAATCACATGTTAAGACATGAAACACAATTAACTTGAACCCAAACAACTTACCTGGATATCTTATTAGACAAAATTATAAAGTCTAACCGAAATCCACCTTTCTGATGCTTTTGTGTCTCAAGCTGCCGATTAAGTCCGTGTAATAGAGTCAATATCAAGCATATTCTTCTTTTTGCTATTATATTTAATCATAAGCAACCACTCTACTTTCATTATGACATTAATTGCTGTCAACCGATCATTCTTCAGTCTGTGATCTTTTCCTTTTGACGAAATCCAAAGTAATGCTAAATGGAAGAAAGTTTCAAACCAAAAGGATTTGTTGGGGGCCATACCGTAACCCATTACCCACTTGGGTTTTGCTAGACAACAATGGTGATGATTTGCACACGAAAGAATGACTCATACCATATCTAACAAAGATGTGAATCTGCCGTTTGATAGCTTAAGGACAAATGTTTTTGGTAAGAAAATGACCTTTTCCATTGCAAGGAATCAAAGCAAAGAAAGACAAACGTGGCTCCTTTTTTATACCAGATTCAGGTTGTAGAATATAATAGAGCTTTCCTCTCCTTTCTTTAAGTGCAATACATTGTCTCTGAGAAGAATTATTATCCTTATTCTCATCAGAAGAATATTCAAACTATAGGAAGTAGGGCAAAGACAAAACAAAAGCCGAGTAGGTATCACTTTGTAATCTCAGCCATTATCCATAGGTTTATATGTATAGTCCTTTACATTGCTGTAGCAGTCTCTTTTTTCCTTTTTCTATTGAAGCATTGACTTTTAGTGGTTTTATAAGAAATCTGTTGATAATCTCTTTACCTTTTAGCATCAGAAACCGTTTGTAAACCTTGGCGAGTACTTGGAAGTAGATTATGTTAAATTGTGCCATCAAACTCTAAAATAGGTACTAAGTATTTAGTTCATTGATTAGTGCATTATCTCTCTGCTTAAAGAATAAAGTTCGAATCCTCTTCCTCCAATTATAAAAAAAAAAAAACTCTAAAACAAAGATTTCTTAGATTGATAATGTTAAAAATTGTGTCATCAAACTCTAAAACAAAGATTTTTGAGATATATGATGTTAAATTATGTCACGCTGTTTGACATGATTTTGATTAAGGTTTCGTAGTAACTCTGTAGCTTTCTTCTCCCAGTCTTTTGTCATATATTAAGTTTAACTCCAAATTCATGTTGTATAGAAATTGGTAAAATTATAGTTTTCTTGAGTGTTACGTTAAAAGAATGGTTTGAATACTAATTATCCACTTTAATTTACCAATACGAAACATGATATATGAAAAATGTGAAAAGAAGTATAGGAAATAGGAGGAATTAGTCCTCCTTAAAAATTAATAATAATAACAATAAAAAGAGAAAAGAAATCAAAATGACACTGCAAAATTTCAAATGCAGGCAACATCTAGGAAGACAGTCGGTTGAACCCAAGTGACATATATATATATGAGGGCAGACAGACTTTGTCGTCGTGGGCATTAATTAAAACTATAGCTGAAATCACTTGTTTGAATTGAACCCCCATGGCATTGTTTCTACAATGCTTATGATTCTTGTTTGACTTGGAATTTATACGGCAACAAATTAAAATTGCCCATGTAAAATCTGCTAAGTTATATATGCACCAAAAGTCTACTTGTGAAATGCCACAATCACATGTGAACAGAGAACATGCCCTGCAGGTTGAAAAGATGCGAAGATTATTGGTAAGATTGGATGAGATTGAATAAAGGTCCGATCAAGAATACTAGCTAGCTAGTGACAGCTATCATTTTGTCAAGGAAACAATGAATTGTCTTATATGTTAGTCAAGATCCTTTTTCTTATTTTCTTCTCTCCAGAAGAAAAGCTAGCCATGGCTCTGGAATACCCTTTTATGTGGTGATGGAAACACCTGTTTTATTTTCAGATGTAAACTCAAGACAAAGCGTTGGGCCACCTTTGATATGTAAGCTTAGAAATCCGAAGTGATATATTCCCTGAGTACAGGTGCAGCTAGCTGCTATATGACAGAATCCGCCTGTGGAAAATTAAGTATTTTCACAGCGCATCAACAAGTCCTGCATGAGCTGATTTTGAGTATTGTGGGGGTGAAAAGTCAAGGAGAAGTGGCCTGCCATCTGTTGCAGTTATCATCGCCACTGGTTTAACGGATCGTGTTTAATTATGTATCTTCTTCATTTCTTTTAATTTTTCTTCCTTGTCGCCCTTTTAACCGTTGGCTATCTGGGAGGTTGCCATATGTCGACCTCACAGTGTAAGGGACAGCATCAAAAGTGCAGCTGCTTGATATAATAAATAGAAAGCCTTTTCATTGTTTTATCAGGCCAAATTTAAAGATTTATTAATTGTTAATTCAACAGTCTAGCTTCATGCTCTCCGTGAACAAAAATAAAGGTCGAATCCAGTTTCCACGCTCCATGTTTCATGTGATTTTGTTCTTAGGACACATTCAAACGGTTCTCCCAATGTATCAATTTACTCCCTTATTCCTTCGGCAACTCTTAATTTCCCAATATTTTATTTCTCAACTTTTTTGTATTCTGCAATAAATCCGGGAACAAGATGCCGGGGAATTATTATTAACTTTTTTTATAATACATTGAAACAAATGGAGATCAGAGCACACTAATTGATTAGGAATATACTAATAATTTTAGTCATTCATATCCATGCATTTATTTTTCGCAATCCCACGTGAAATCCCATTGATCCTTCACTTATCTCGGTTTGTTTTGTGAGATTATGTTTCTTTTCCCCCCTTTTTTTTTTGTTGATAGGGC